CGTCGTCGTCGTCGTCGTACTACGTACTACTACTACTCTCTCTCTCTCTCTCTCTCTCTCTCTCTCTCTCTCTCTCTCTCTCTCTCTCTCTCGAAAACGCGTGTTCCGCTCATGTTCTGAGTTGAGTCTGTCCACCCGATTCCTCGTATTCTCGGTGACAAAGTCGCGAAATAACAACGGGGTTACTGCCCGATCGCGTTATTCGCTTGACTTAATTCGCATTGATTTTCGTTGAGCGTGCAAGCAATATATATACGTCCGTGTAGTCGGAAAGAAATGTAAGGAATAATCTCAAATTTTAATCTCAAAATCGTGAACATTTAACCAGAGTTATCCTTTTATCTAGTTGACTCGTTAGACTGCGCTTTTCTTCTAGATTAAAGTTTACTCTCCATTTGCACGCGATCGTATCGCGAATTGTCGGACGCAGGAAATTCGATGCACGTCGTTTCGATCGAAGGTAATCGGATCAATCGCGACGGTGATCCGATTTTTCTGTCGGGTGGCACAGCACAAGTAGACGTAATACGCGGGGGTATATCGTTCATTAGGGCTCGTGATTTTGACTTACAGCGTTTATATTCGACACATATCGATACGCGAACGACTTAGGCACTCGCGAAACAGCGGGCCGTAACTCCGATGCCTGACAATCATTAGGATTTATATGCTTTTGATGTGGCACGGTGATTTCCTATTACGAATGTAACGTCTTAATTGACTGACGGACTTTCCGCAATAATCTCCAATGTTGACTGATTGTAATTATCGAAGCCGTGATACAGGAAAACTGTGATTTTTTTTTTTTTAGAAATCTGACTCATTCGCTACGTAAAAAATTATGGAATTACTTTAGGACAGAATTAATAAGTTTTATTTTGAATATAGATGTTGTTACGTAACGCGCCATGGTTATGGTTACCGTTTAATTAAAATTTATCCGTCAAAATAGGTTCTATATATCTTTTGTTTATCTTTGATTTGTACTAGGATAATGGCATCGCGTAGTTATTTTGATATGGCTGGTAAATATAGATAATGTTTATTTTGGAAGTATGCGCTCCAGATAGCTGTCAACAGCAACATTAGTGTCGTTATCGAGTAAAACTCAGTCATACATTGTACCATATAATTGTATTGTCTCGCCGTCGAAAATAAGTAGGTAAACGATTCGAATTATAGTCCTCGACAAAATTGCAAGTTGCAATTACAATTGCCGCGCTCATCAAAGGAATGGCGGCGTCAATTTTTAATATCGATCCGTGCCCGGCTAATGTCAAATCATTTATCATCCATAATCCAATCGGATCACCAGTTTTTTGCGACGTGGAAGAACTTAATATTCCATCTGTAAACTGTCATGTGGCCTTAATCGCTAAAAGCTTAACTAGATTTAGCGCTCTTGACATTTACCAGTTTATTGTGGAGTGTATGTGCGTTCGTGTTTCTCCCGCTAACGGCGACCATATAATATTATGCGATGCCATTTATTCCTAACGGCGCGCGGCGATACAATTACAATAAAAAAAGTACAGATACGATCGATCGATCGATTATCTTTCATAACGTAAATTCAGCGTGTAATTAACTTACGTCGCTCAAAGGATGGAAATACGGCAGAAAAATATGAAAAATGACGAGTGCTGTATTTCTTTTCGAGAAACCATATCGCGCAATATAATAATTTCTCAGTCGATTAAAAATTTTTAATATGTATTTTAACGTAACGTATATTAAGTTCTTGAAATAAAAAAAAGGCACAAATTAAAGGAAGATCCTTCAAGTAATTCCGAGTCAATTCTCTCACAGGAAAAATTCGATTGGCCGTCATGTTTTTTGCAACTACTTTTCCACTTGCCGTTTTCTAGTCCCGTCACGCAAGAACGTGCGGTCAGGATTTTTTTCCTTTTTTTTTTTTTTTTTCTTTTACGCGGGTGTTTTTGCACGCGAGCACGCGCCTGACTGGTAACGGAGAACGCCTGGGAATTTTCCGCAGGTCCGACCGCACCTATACGAGAGAGAACGAGAAATCGGATTACTTTTTTCCGGTATATCGCGACGCGGAAAATGCGTCGACGTCGTCGTCGTCGTCGTCGTCGTCGTCGTCGTCGTCGTCGTCGCCATCGCATTCGGTCATCGTCAGCCTTTTCTACGCGTCGCCGATTCCGCGTTCACGTGATAATAAAATGCTCACGGAATGATCTATCGAGATACGACATTGCGATCTACGAACCGCTTCGGGCCGAAGCAAGGTGGAATTATCGCGATGTCCCTTGATAGATGCGATTGTCGTTAGTTGTGGCTAGAGAACCGGTATTCAACAGCGAGTAGCGATCGATGCGAATGCGCAACACGTTTGTTCAAATCGAACTTTGACGTTATTGCTGCATCTCTCTGCGTCATCCGATTCTTTTTAAATAATATTAATATTAATAACATTAATTTCTATAATAAATAAAAAAAATTTTGCATAACTTCTTAAAGATTTATGTAAATGTATACATTTTACTTTGAATAAAAAATAACAGTTATTTTTCGATCAACATCTTCTTCAGAGATATTGTTAGCACTTGACGCGTCATAATTTTTACGTACTTTGCCTATTAAAAAAAAAAAAATGGTACTGATATTACTCGACGAACTTTCAATGCGGGTCGCGCATGACCGTTTGTGTCCTTCGCTGCCTCTAATACCGGTCGCTTCGATTGCGTAAGCGATCGATCGACTAGTAAACGAGTACAGTAAGCAGTATATCGCCGATACACTCGGTTGTATTTGCGGCTTACACTGAAATCAAAACGATTATAAACGATTCAGGTTACGCCGCGAGCGGATTTCTGCTCTGCGCGGAGCGGCTTGGAAAAATTCCGAAGCAACGACTCTTCGTTGCGCGACGAGGGTAGGCAGGCGGAATGACGATGGTCAGGAATCACGTCGGCGGGACGAAATGGCACTCGGTTGGATCTGCTCCCGCGGATAATCGATAACAGTGATTAACGGGGCAAAGACGGGGACGGTGAGCCAACTGGAATACTAAAAGTACGCGCGGTGGAAGCTGATTGGATCGAGGAGAACAAGGTAAGGGACGCCTTAAGCGCGAATGATGTAAGTTATAAGTATAATAGAAACAAAACGTATATCTCTCCCCCTTTCTTTCTTTCTCTCTTTCTCTCTTTTATTTCTCAGAGAGTTAATTGCTAGTACCTGGTTCAGACACTTGAGTAAGGTTAATTATGATCCGATAAATATAATCCTCTAAATCCTAATTATTCTAAATACTGAAATATTTTTATCAACAACAACAGTAATAAAAATAATAATAATACATTAAAAAAATATTCTGAAAAGACATTAAACATTTTCAAAATATTTTCAACTGTTATTGTACATTATTAGAGCCATACGTTTTTGGATCAAAAGGCAATGTGAGACTTGATGATCCGCGGACGTAACAGTTCGGTCGAGACAATTTGATCGACAGTATCCGATCAGTTGGCGATCGGACATCGGCGACAATCGCCACACCGACGGATCTGCCGCAAAATGCGCGGCGATTGGTTTTCGCGGCACGATCTGACCTAAAACCGAGCTCCGCTCGGTTAGACTCTGCCCCTCTGTCCCTCTTGCTGTCCCTGGTCGACTTGTCGCTGTCTCCTTTACCTCCTTGATCCTCCTCTTCCGCCGCCCTCTCCCGCCGTCTTCTTCCCACACTCGCGATCTTAATAATGCCGGTTTCTGCGGGACGCTGGGAAAAACGTTGATTTCACTTAGCTGGAATGGTGACACGATGTGCACGTCGGATTTACACGTCCGACTTCTTCGTTCCTGTCGCGGCACAATTGTACAATTGTGGCTTCAGCAAGGTACTAAACAACCATGGCGCCTCTGCGGACTTTAGATATCGAGGATCCATCTAATCTTCACAGGAAAATTTTGTAACTGCGCGAGGTAGTAATTTTTCAATTAACTTTCTTGCATTTTTATCGTCTCTTTTTGTCATGAATACGATTTTGCCGAAATAAATATTGATTTGTCGTCGTACATAAATATTGATATCGAACGTAATGCGATTTAAACGTATGCGAATAGGCAGGAAAATGTAATCATAGAATTTAGAGCTTTAATTAAACGATTAATTATAGGACTTCTAATTTCAAAATGGGATTACTCTAATAAACACAGGATTTACGATCCATATAATTTGCAAGGAGATCCGTTTCTTCGCGCGCTTATTTAGACTACTTTCCGATTCGAGGAAATAAATCCGGTTAGAGCCATACCTCTTGATAACTCATTAAACGGTGGCTGGTAGTCACGAATGTGCCTGTGCAACTGATCTTCTTTTGCACGTTATAAATACTCTTCAGATACCGCCTTAAGCGCAATCGACGCGACACATTTCGCAATTTATTGTGTCACACTGAACGAAACGCGTGCACTTGGTCGGCAGATGTTGTCAGCTGCCTCACCTGCATATGCAACATTCCGGTACAACATGCACAACACCTAAACGATGCGCTGCATCGCGAGAAAGTGGCTTCCCGCCCACATCTTATCTGTCTCGTACCACTCTTTACGTCTAGTCCACTGTTACTTTTTGGTCACGTGACTGTCTGGGCGCATCATATAAACATTTGCACACCTTTGAAATTTTTTCTCTATTAACTTTCTAACAGAAAAAAATAATTATAATTATTATAATTATTATAAATATTAGAAAATATAATAATTATTATTTTTAATAATATATATCCATGTTTTCACAAGTTAGACGAGAGCTTAGAAAGAGCGTGCTATTTTAATAAGTTGAACGAAATGAAAATTTTTCCCGTTTTCGATATTTCTCCAATGGATGGTAACAAAAATATTAAAATCACCCATAAGGCTTCGTAATTCGCTCGTTAAACACTGACGTTACTGTCGCCCACGGCGATCGACTTTATAATTTCGCACGTAAACGAAAGGCCATCTCGCTGTCGTCCCATTACATCATACCCCTCAATTATACCGGTCTTCTAAAAAGCCGAGAGCCGTGTGATCACTTCCTGATGATGTAAATCATCAAAGCTTTACTAGCGTCGAGCGTAAGGACAGAGAACGGCGAAGGCTAAAGGGATGAAGGGGGCGGAGACTAAGGCGGCTAAGCGTGGCGTGGAAGAAATAAAGAAATATCGGCGCGGTTGGTACCAGCGGCACCAACCGCAGCAGATATCCGCGCGGCCATGTGCGGATATGTGTAAGTGAAAAGGGTTAGTCTTGTCGAGGCACGAGAATGCGGTTATGATAATGCACCGGCCACCGTGCTACGCGAAGAAACTCCGAAGGTGGACGTGGCGGCAACCTCGCCGGTGGGGGAGAAACTTCTGCATCGCATCGCCGAGGTGCATCTTCTTCCTCTCCCGGCGAGATGCGACGAGGCTCACTCCATAACGTACCCGGCGCACCGGGACGTTTATCCACGCCGATAACCGATTTTGGCAAGGGACGCGCCATCGTAGTATCGCCGTTCTTCCTCGCAGTCCGCACCCGTGCGAAACCCGCGGCCGTGCAGATGCCATCGTGGCCACGCATGGTGGAAACTTGCTCGAATCTCCCATTGTTCTTCCGAACGGTTACACCGCCGCCGCGCCGCGCCGCGCCACGCCACGCCACGCCACGCCACGCCACGCCGAATCGAATCGAGCCGCGCGTTTCTCTCGGTCGATTTTATTGTCGCGCCTTTTTCGCCGCCTTTCTCGGGAATTTAGCGAGCAATTGTCCGCACTGTTTTATGGCGTCGCCAGTTTCTTCTATGCCGATATTGTTCTTCAGGCCAAATTTGGCAAGTAAAACAAAGCGATCTTTTTTATATCGATACGAAGATTGATAATTATTGAAAGCGGAAGAAACCTCAAGATCGAAGATGATAGCAAATTAATATATACGCACGAGCTGCTAGATGTTTTTAATCGCAATCGTACTAATAAAAAAAAAAAGGAAGATAGGAAAAATAATATCCTAGCAATGTGATGTTATGGAAACTTTTGAACGCGACTTGATAACGACGACCCAAAATTCCGCTCACATTACATCGAATAGCGCTCTCTCGCACGACAAGTAGCGCACGCGTAAAGAAAGGATCGCTTCGTCGCGCCAGTAGGGCTGGCCGCGTGCACGTGAGCTAAACGGATAAATTGTTTCCAGTCCATTAACCATTAACCGTACCGGGGATTTGGATTCGAGGTTTTCTCCGAGGTATCGTGAGACGATTTGCCACGAGGAAAACGAATCAGAGAGATCGACGGCGTTAAGATGTAAGACGTACCGAAGGTGAAGAAAGAGGGAAGAAGAGGAAAATTTCCTGCCGTCAGAAGATAAAAAAAAAGACGGAGCAGATAGCAGCTTAGAAGAAGGGGTAAAGGGGAATGGAGAGAGAGAGAGAGAGAGAGCGAACGAGCGGGTATCATCGGTCCACCCGATAGCAGCCACCACACCATCGGTTCTGCCTATCCGCTCGGGTGGGGCGGTGAGGTAAGGGTGGTTTTTAAATAATTCCACTATTTCCATGCATATTGCAGGAAACAATTACAACTGTAATTGCTAATAGAAGATTCCAGACGAGGCCAGGTTTATCTCGAGGTTCAAACCCACTCCTTACCCGCCCATTTTGCTACCCACCTTACCCTACTCCGTACCCGTTGCTTGTCCCTTTGCTCGGTATAGCTCTTCTTACTTGCAATCTTCTCAAACGTCCGATTCACCACGACCGATAGCACCGCGTTTCTCCATCCCTCCCTCCCTCCCATCTCGCTCCCTTTCTCTCTCTTTCTCTCTCTGCGGGAACGTACGGCGCGATCGTGTAACTAGGTAGACGGTTTTACGACTGTTGGACACACCGTTTCCAGCCGCCGATTGTTCGCAAATGTATGTTATTGCGGCGCGAATTGTTGTCCATTACGAACGATCGTTTGTAATCCCGTATATTCGACCGGCGTTTACAACCTCGGGCTACTATTTAGCGCTGAGCTGCGGTTTCGTTTGCGTTCGCTCAAATTTCGCCTGAAAGGCTTTCTGTAATTATCCAAAAGGATAACCTGAGCTGCAGCGGTAAACGTCACGCGCCGCGCTCTCTCTCCCTCTTCGCTTGTGATAAGAGTACTCGTTAATTTATAACGGAGTATCGAACATGATGAGTGTGAGCTTTCTTTCTCTTCTCTGATATCCTAGATTTTTAAAAAAATCAAAATAATTTACAGCAAGAAAAATTGAACTAAAGAGAATCATATTGGTTTTATGCCATGTTCAGTTACACGTAAAGTCAGGCAGGAAGTAGTATTTCGAAGCAAAAATACGAAGAAAGGGAGGCGGGTTGGCCATGGGAGATGGGTGGATGGAAAGAGGAGAATGTAAGAGAAAAGAGATAAGAGGGAAAAGGACAGATTTCGAGGAGAAATGGAAGGAAAAAAAATCAAGCAAATTGGTATGCAGCACACAACAACCGGCGGGTGGAACAAAGGGGGAGTGAAGTTAGGCCAGCTAGGGGTTTCTGTTCCTGGAGAGAGGGTGGGATCAATATTCTCTCTCTCTCTCTCTC